AATGACCTATAGCTTCGCTTAAGGGCAGCCTTAAGGTTATCGGTGTCCGTCTTACGGTCTCTATAGTATATAAGTCCGATATCGTTAACGTTGAAGAATATAATTAAACCGTCGCGGATTATAATATAGGGGTTATTAGGGATAGCTATAAAGCCTATCCTTTATAGCGTGCCGCTAAATTCCTCTTACTATAGTAGTGGCGATACCCTTAAACCGAAGAGGGCTTTCTGTAGTAGTAGGACCTTGCCTAGTACTTTATAGCCTTACGGTATCTTTATAAATACCTCTTTTTTAAGGCTAGCGTTAACGAACGCATTAACGATATCGAACTGCCTTATCTTTAGGTTAAATCGGGCGGCGATCGCTATTAGTATACGGAAAGACTGCGAGGCTAGCATTACGGCATAGTTATCTTTAGTCTTTAACCGTTTTTATTAATCCCCTCGGACTATAAGGCGTGCCTTATACTTAAGGAGTGCCCTCCTTATTAAAATTATAGGTGTATACCTATCTATAGACGAGGACTTATTACTTATTAGCCTAATTACTACCTACCTCCTACTAGCAGCCTATCTATCGGTGCCCTTTAAGGTATTCTCCCTCGGCCTATAACTACCGCTCCCGTAACGGATAAAGGCGTATATCGCGGTAGTGGTTTAGTGGAGGCGGGAGATCCTCGCGGGTTATATACGATAGCGATAGCGGCTAAGAGATATAAGGGGAATCTATAGTACCGACGTTATCATCGTTAATGGTTTACTTCCTTATGCATATAGGGTTATAAGTCCTGCTAGCGTTAAAGAACGCCTTCTAGGCGTTATCGTTCTAGACCTTCTCGGTCGTGTATAGATTTACGATAGTTCTCGTGATAGATAGGCGCGCGGGTAATAGGCGCGCGGCCGACAGGAGTATAGCTAACAGGCACCCCTTAGGGGCACCTATAGCTGTCCGTTAGTGGTTATCGTGTTCTTCCACCTTATCGCCCCTGACTACCGCTAACGCTATAAGGAACGCGCGCGCGGGATCTTTAGGGGATATTAGAGGCGTGGGAAACGGTTTAAACCTCGTAGTGGTGAACCGTAAAGTGTCCGTAGTAATAGCAATAGCCTCTCCTATAATAATAGCAGTAGTATCGGAGTTATGAGGTTTTACATCTATAGCCTAGTTATTAGGCTATAGATTTAGAACCTTATCTATAGTAATAGTAGTGGCCTCTCTTATAGTAATAGCGACGGCCTAACCTTTATCCGTAGTAATAGCGGTAGCGTCGCCTTTACCTGTGGTAAT